GGTTGTCTACTTGAGGGGGAGTGTTAGAGTGCATCCCACACCGGAAGTCCAAGAGTAAAATAATCTGGTATATAAGCTCTTGAGTTAAACTAATTAATCGATTGGATTCAATCTTTTAATGTGGTTCAGCCCAAGTGTCTTATAGCCTAATCCAGTTTTCCACACCTATCCCAAATTCTATCACAAGGTATATTTTAAGTAATGTGGACCTACGAGTTCTTAAAATAAAATTGAGAGTAACAAAGTAATTTTATGTGAAACCTCAGATGTGGCTCCTCCTCTCGTTGGTTTCTCCAACAACAATCAAAATGGTTTTTATTGTCACCTTTATGATTATTTAAGTCATAATACATAGTCTCTTCACACTTCATAGTCTTAGTTCAGGCTTTCCGCTTTCTATTCATCACACTTTCAAATCGAAATCTCTCCCTTAAATCCTCAATTGGAGGATGCCTTTCTGATTGAAAGTTGTCTCTTCCAAGCCTATGGAGTGTGAGACGGTGGTTGACAGAGGTAATTTTAGCGATTTGTACATATTTGTTTCAGCACAATGCGTCTTTGACTAGTTCCATCTTCAAGTATGAACCTCAACCACTTGATTTGATATGTGATTCATATATTACATTTTGATGTGTTAGAGATTCTTATGTGTATTCCAATTGAATCTAAGCATTTGAGGATCCTACGATTCTTGTTCATTTGTATGGATTGGAAGAATTCATAAACATTACGGAGTATTATTCAAATTTGAATTCTAATTAGGGGTGGATTTATATGGAATAATGATTTTCTAAACTCAATGACTCTTAAAAAAGATTCCTCCAAATGTTTGATTCTGCCACATTCTAGTTTTGTATTGATAAACTCAATGAACTCTACGAATCGAAATTATGAACATGAATTGTGCATTGAATCTGTTAGAAAATGCCTTGAATCTGTATCCTAGACGTATTAGGATTACGACTAGGAATAGGATTAGGATAATCTTTCCTAATCTCATCTTTAGATATATAGTAGGATTAGGATTACCCATATCCCCTTCCCTATATATATGGCTTGTATTTGTACTCCTCAATACATGGTAGAGAAAATCTGTAATCTGGTGAGAAAATACTGATCAATAAATATGTTTCTCTTCTGTCCGTGGAGGTTACTAACAAGTTGTTAGTAAACCACGTTAAATCTCTGTTGTTCTCGTGATTGTCAATTGTTCGTGTTCATACTTTCTCGCGTCTGTCATAACAAACTGGTATCAGAGCCTAGTTATTGCACAAATTGTGAGAAAATTATTGCCTAGGGTTTTTCAAATTTGTGCGTGCGCAGCCGCCGAGAAGCAGATCTGATTGTGAATCTTGAGCAGCAGAGCCGCCCGCTGCTGACAGAGGAGCCGGAAGGAAGAACCGTTGCTGCCAGAGCGTCTTCGCCGCCGGTTCGTCCAGAACTGCCGTCAGCCACACGCAAACCGCCGTCGTCCAGATCGTGTCGCCGTCGCTGGTTATTTTGAGTGTAGTAAAGGAGTAATCATCGATCGATGCCGTAGGGTTGAGGAGCAAACCGACGCCGCCGTGGGCCTTGAATCGCAGCGAGGAAGAGCGCTGCCGCCTCCGGTTCGCGCCGCCGTCGAGAAGCCATCCAGTCGCACCCCCGCCGGTTAGGTCGTAAAACAGAAGCTACAGCCGAAAAAAAAAGGAAAGGGGTTTGAAATTTTTCCTTTGCAGTACGGAAGAAGAAAAAAAAGGGTTTTTTTTTCTTTTTGGGCCGTGATTTTTTTTTTTGGCGGGTGGATCTTGTGGGCTGATTTGTTTCTAATTGAGTTGCCATTTGGACTTTGACTTGGACTTTCCTGTGATTTGACTGAAATTACTCTATTTTGGGCGAGGAAGATGTTGTCTGCTCTGAACGTGAAGATTGACAAATTCAACGGGAGAAGTAATTTTGGCTTATGACAAATCAAGATGCGATCGTTGCTGAAGCAACAGGGATTGTGGGCCCCGCTCACTGAAAAGGCGAATAAGGCAGACAAGAAGGATGAAGAGTGGAAAACCCTAGAAGAAAAGGCCCACTCGACACTCATGTTGTGCCTGTCTGACGATGTCATCATCGAAGTCGCTGATCAGGAGACTGCTGCTGCCCTCTGGATAAAGTTAGAGAGTTTATACATGACGAAGTCTCTAACCAATAAGTTGCTCTTGAAGCAACGTCTGTTTCGACTACGCATGCAAGAAGGTACACCCCTCCGGGATCATCTAGAAAAGTTGAGTAAAATTTTGCTTGATCTTCGAAACATTGATGTTAAAGTAGATGATGAGGATGCTGCTTTAATTCTGTTAGTTTCTTTGCCCGGGTCGTATGAAAATTTTGTTGAATCTTTTATGGCTGGTAAAGAAACTTTGTCTCTGGAAGATGTTCGATCTGCTCTCCACATGAGAGAAGATCGTCTACATGCAACTAATTCAGGAATAGAAAATCAGGCATGTGGACTATCTATTACGGGTAAGGGACAGAAGACCTTTGGAAAGAAGAAGCCAAACTTTAATGGTTCAAAAGGTCCTAAGCCCGGTGACATCTGCAACTATTGTAAAGAACCAGGGCATTGGAAGTTTGATTGTCCTAAGTAGAAGATGCAGAAAAAGGACAAGATCGAGGATGCTCACGGTTCTGCAACTATGGCAGAAGCTGGTGATACAAACTCTGAAGAAGATCTTGTTCTATTTGTCAATAACCAAACACATTGTAAGGATGTGTGGGTTCTTGATTCTGGGGCATCGTATCATATTAGTCCATATAGGGAGTTGTTTTCAACTTATGAGCAGATAGACAAGGGTGATGTTTCCATGGCCAACGGAGTTGTCTGCAAGGTAGTTGGAATAGGCTCCATCAGGTTGAGGACTCATGATGGTACATTCTGCACCTTGAATAAAGTTAGGCATGTTCCACAGATGACGAAGAATCTGATATCCTTGGCTCGTCTTGACAGTAAGGGTTTCAGTTTCAAAGGTAAAGGTGGAATTATGAGTGTCTACAAGGATTCGAAGGTGGTTCTGAAAGGTATTAAGCATGGTACCTTATATCTTCTACAAGGATCTGTCATTGTTGCATCTGAGATTCATAGAGGTGATGAAAGTCTTAATGTTGAGGTGGAGGTTGCATCTGCACGGATTGAGACTGTTGATCACCTAGAAGAATCATCTGTTTCTATGCCTCAATGAGGCGATATGCGCCCCGGGAGGGGGCGATCTGGCCCCCATAAAGGGCAATCAGGGCTTCAGGATGAGTCATCTGGACACTAGATTGGTGTCATCTGTTTCTGTTCAAGTTCCATGAAGAGTCATCTGGATTCAAGGTGGAGTTTGCATCTGTTGGTGTTTTAGCTTGAGTTATATGTTCCCATGAGTGAGGGAAATCTGTTTTGGTGTGTCACAACACTTCTGAACTCAAGTGAAACAATTTCTTCCTGTCTTTTAGTGACATTTGTGTCCTTGGTTGGACTTCTGGTACCTATGGTACATCTGGTCACTTCTGGTAGGAAATCTGATACATCTGCTGTCTTTTGAAAAGATTCAAGCCAAGGTGGAGATTTGTTAGAAAATGCCTTGAATCTGTATCCTAGACGTATTAGGATTACGACTAGGAATAGGATTAGGATTATCTTTCCTAATCTCATCTTTAGATATATAGTAGGATTAGGATTACCCATATCCCCTTCCCTATATATATGGCTTGTATTTGTACTCCTCAATACATGGTAGAAAAAATCTGTAATCTGGTGAGAAAATACTGATCAATAAATCTGTTTCTCTTCTGTCCGTGAAGGTTACTAACAAGTTGTTAGTAAACCACGTTAAATCTCTGTTGTTCTCGTGATTGTCAATTGTTCGTGTTCATACTTTCTCGCGTCTGTCATAACAGAATCAAAATTATTCATTGAAAGTGAATATTAATTATGAATGCTACATCTAATATAATTTTTTGAAATTTCAATACTGCATTAAATCTAACTTTTCAACTCACTTAATATTGTATCTGAATCTAAATACTATCCTGAGCTATAAATTTGAATCTTAGTGTGAACTTTGAATACTAAACTCTAAGTAGTTATGAATTTTTGGTTTTGACTCTAAAAAAATATTTATTGAGTTTGAACTAAACAACCAATGATTCATACTCCCTCCGTTCTCAAAAACACTTCCTCTTTCATTTTTTTCATTTCCAACAAAACACTTCCCTTTTCTATTAAAAACCACTTTTACCCTTACTTTTTCATACTCACCTATCACATCATACTTTTTCTCTAATAATCTATCCATCACATCTTACTTTTACCCATCACATCAGGGGTAAAATTGGAAATCAACTATAATTTAACATTTTCTTATTTTTGCCCCAAATCCAAATGGGAAGTGTTTTTCCAAACGGAGGGAGTATATTTTTATGCAAAACCAAATTGAAGAAAAAATTTGTCTTCAATTTCTCTACGATTTTGGGTAAATACTTAAACATACGAACCAAACCAACCCCTAATAGAATTGAAGTTAATGAATTGTTCTATATCAGTTGAATATGAATTAATGAACGAACCGTCCATAGGAATTTGAAACACCTCATGCTGTGTGAGCATTTTAATCAAATTGAGTTAGGCCTGTATGTATTCTTAAGTAACATCTTATTAAAAATATAGCTGCTCTTTAAAAAATTGTCACTTTGGAATCGATAGTCACTCGATAGGCCTTCCAATAGATACCCACACATGAAGGGGTGTGTGAAAAGATTGAAAATTGGACAATTCCCAAGAGTCTCACATTTGTTGGTTGAATATTAATGACCCCTTTAATAATAAGTAGTGTTGGAAACTCCTAACCTCTTAATTGAGATCTATTTTGTGGTTTAGTAAAGAGTACTGCTCATTCTAAATCAAATATGCATGCATGCATGCAAGAAACGTATATACATTTATAAAGACTATTAAGATATTTTTATTGTGCCAAAAAAAAGTTACTCACAGCTCTATTGTCTGTAGCGACGCCAGAGATGACGAACATGAGCAAGAAGGACATGATGAATTCTATAATAAATGACTGAATGTCTGAACCTGCGGGAAGGGTTCCAAAGAAAGCCTCACTCTTCACACCAAGTAAGACGTACAAAGTCCCACTGGCAAGAATTGAACCAACGAGTTGTGCAAATACGTACATGGGCACCTACAAATTACATTATTCATTTATTCCTCTATTTAATTTATTTTTATCACTCTATTTTTATATCCATTCACATAAATGTTGAAATATTGGAATATTAATATTGCTCATTGAATTATGGAGTACATGATAGAGTATATATAGGAGAGACTCCTAACACAACTAGGAATAGAGAATGGAAACTAACTAACATACAACATCTACCACAAATAGGATTAGAAAGCTGACTAATAATGAAACACTACCATAACCAATACTACAAGAAATACTATTAATATTATTGTCTAACATCCCCCCTCAAGCTGAACTCTGGCTGAAGCAAGAGGAAGCTTGGACACTAGCTGGANTAATATTGCTCATTGAATTATGGAGTACATGATAGAGTATATATAGGAGAGACTCCTAACACAACTAGGAATAGAGAATGGAAACTAACTAACATACAACATCTACCACAAATAGGATTAGAAAGCTGACTAATAATGAAACACTACCATAACCAATACTACAAGAAATACTATTAATATTATTGTCTAACATCCCCCCTCAAGCTGAACTCTGGCTGAAGCAAGAGGAAGCTTGGACACTAGCTGGAAACAGGAAACTTTGAGAAGAGAGAATTCTGACATGTGCTGGTGGCTGCTCACATCGTTGGAGAAGAGAGAAGTGTGACGCGCGTTGGTGGCTGTTGACGTCGTTGGAGAAGAGAGAAATCTGACGTGCGCTGGTGGCTGCTGACGTCGTTGGAGAAGAGAGAAGCCTGACGTGCACTGGTAGCTGCTAACGTCGTTGGAGAAGAGAGAAATTGACGTGCGCTAGTAGCTGCTGATGTCGATGAAGATGAGAGAAGGTTGACATGCGCTAGTAGCTGCTGACGTCGAAGAAGAATAGAGAAAGCTACTGGAGGTGCCTGTTTGACTGAAGATCCTTGACATTTTTGTCTTTTTCTTGGATCCGGGCAATGCCCTATTTCCTTCTTGAAGGGGTGAGTTGTAGAGGTCTTATTTCCTCTTTCACTACTTCCCCTCTTGGCTTTGCTTTTGTGCTGATTTACTTTGGATTTTTAATGATTCAACAGAAGATAAAGAGAATGGAGGTTGATGATTGGAATGAGTGATTTTAAAGAGAAAAAGTAGGTTAAGAATTGGTGATGGAAAAAAAATTTGGGTTTGAGATTTTGATGTGGTGAATTGAAGGGAAACAACAATCATTTTTTTTCCTTTTTTTCGAGATCTGAGAGAGTTTGTTAGGAGTTGAGTTTTTTTTTTGAAGAACCATAGAGATGACAAGAGAGAAGTTCCTCATTCGATAGTTTTTTTTTGTGTGATTTCAATAGGAGTTTTTTCCTTTTTTTTCATTTGAATGGAGAAGTTGATTTGAAGATAAAGAAGGAAAAGAAAATAGAGGTGAATAGGGTGGAGCCGCCGTCGCTGGAATTACTAGCGGCGGCGGCGGGAGCAAAGAACTTTTTTTTAGGTCACCATGAGCGGTGGCTCTGATACCATGGCGCCGTTGCCGGGGAACGAACCCGGGTCACCCGCGTGACAGGCGGGAATACTTACCACTATACTACAACGACCGGCCAGCCTATAGCCCCTCCATAAATTGTTGCGCCACTTACGAAACTGGACGCGGCAACCGGCTCTCACCGCTTGCTTTGTTTTAAATTGGATTTAAAACATACATCAATTAAAAATTATCTTTAAATGCTTGCATTTTTTTAGTAAAGAAAATTCATTTAATGAAAAATGCCTACTAGAAAAAGGAACCTGTTTCCAAGGAAATTGGCGAAAGAGTGCAAACGTAATGGTGACAGCGGGGTTTAAATGTGCTCCAGATATGTGACCCACTGAGTAGACCATAACCATGATAATCAAACCCCATGCCACACTCACACCTGGGAATGTTAGTGATCCATATATCTTGTCAACAGCCACAGAACCACATCCAATAAATATGAGGAAATATGTTCCAATAGTCTCCGCAATTACCTGAAAAGATGTATATATTTGACATAAATCACTTTTAAGTACAAGTTTGATAAAGTTATGAACTAATGATCTCATACAATGTTAGGATTCCACCCAAGCACTGTAATAATCATGATAAAAGAAGGAAAAAATCAAAGTGGAGGAAAACTGTTAAATATTTACATATATAATATTTTTTCTATTTAGTTGTTTCCTTCTTTGTATAGGATTCCTTTAATTATTCTTTCCTTGTTTGTATCTCTCCTTTGTATATATATAAGGGGAGGTGGACCTTTTGTATCTTTAAGATCAATATTATACAATTCGTCATGGTAACGGAGCCAACCCTAGGCTAATACCAATTCTTTCTCCCCCTCTCGGCACTTTCTCTCACCGTCGACTCTCTCTCTCTCTCTCTCTCTCGGCAACATATCTCTTTGCAAGGACATACTCCTGAATCCACCGACACCATGCAAGGGCGTACTAAGCTCTATCGTGATGTCATTCTCGGTATGTTTTTGTTATTTCCACATATGCTTGCACTAATTGATCTAGGATCTACATTACCTTATATTTGTGTTCTTATGTCTGAGAAAGCTAACATTTAGAGCGAGGATCTAGAATACTTAATGAAAATATCTAACCTATTAAGGAACAACATGCGACATCACCATTTATTCCGCAACTGTCCGCTGACGGCTCAGGCACATCAAATGTCTGTGATTCTAATCGAGTTACCATACAAGGAGTTTGATATTATCCTTGGTATGGACTTGCTGATGGAACAAAAAGCATTAACCGACAGCGGACTGCGTACAGTATTGTTGAAGACCGATGACAGTAACATTGTGGAAGTCAAAGGGGAGTTGTTCCCTAAACCCCCGAGCAGAAAGTTATTCCTACCGTGTATGAATGCCCCGATGTATTTGTCATTGACCTTCATGGCTTGACACCACCGAGTGAGGTGGAATTCTTAATTGATTTGGTTCTGGGGATGGAATCCATCTCAGCGACACCTTATTGCATGGCACCTGGAGTGAGGAAAGAGCTGAAGGCTCATCTTCAAGAACCATTGGGCAAGGGATTCATTAAGCCGAGTGTGTCCCCTTGGTGAGCACAAGCCCTCTTCGTTAAGAAAAAAGACGGATCGATGAGACTCTGCATCGACTATCAAGATTTGAACACGCCTTTGGTCAGGTTACCATCAGATTCCAATAAAGAGATATACTGAAGACACATTTTCGTACACGTTATGGGCACTATGAATTCACAGTGATGTTGTTTGGACTGACTAATGACCCGATGATATTCATGGACTAGATGAAAAACATTTTCTGCCCCTACTTGGACCACCTTGTGGTAGTTCTCATCGATGACATCTTCGTGTACTCAAGAACATCAAAAGAACATGCTAGACATCTACAGAATGTACTTGTTGTAGTGAGAAAGCACAAGCTCTATGCCAAATTGTCCAAGTGTTAACTTTGGCTCAATGAAGTCACATTCTTAGAACATGTGATTTCGAGCGAAGGTATAAAGGTAGACTGATGTAAGATCTCAGCTATAACGAAGTGGAACACTCCGAGAAATGCACGAGAGGTGAGGAGCTTTCTTGGCCTAGTTGGTTACTACCGGTGTTTCGTGGAGGGTTTTCTCATCTATTACATCTCATCTGAATAAGCTACTGAAAAAGGATGCCAAATTTGTATGGACTGACCCTTGCCAATAGAGTTTTGACTGAGTTGAGGGAGTCTAAACTCGAAGAACCTGGCATTTTTCGCGAAGCAATGGAGAAAGTGTGGTTGATACATTACAGGCTGCAAATTTCTTTAGATTGCTAGAAGCCCTACGCTGACCTCAAGCACAGGGAAATTGAATATAATGTCAGCGACTAAGTATTCCTCAAGGTTTCTCCATGGAAAAAGGTGTTGAGATTTTGCAAGAAAGGCAAGCTATCATGCCAGTACCAATGTACCGGACAAGGTACCGTATGACCCCAAGGGCCAAGGTTCTTCCCTAAATCCGTGTTTTCTATCAAGGATTGATTCTAAGACTTTGTTGGTTACATGACAGTGAGCTAGAGTAATTCTAGCCAAGGCTAGGCCTCTATTTGAATGAAATGATTATCTCTCTATCTATTATGGTTATATCATCGAGTATGTTAGGCCTTGTAAGGGTATATTGTGTTAATGAAGCTAATGTACCTAGAAGAACTCTAGGGAATGACCTTAATCGATTAGTGGCAAGTTATGTCATAAGCATAGTAGATTAGAGCCATGTGGTACCCACTGGTTCCAATGGCTATTCGGGTAAAAATGTGTGCACGGGGATCTATGAACTGTCATTCCGAAGTGGACGGGGATCTCACACACCCAACGTGGAACTCCTAAGTTGGTTTTAAGCTTGGCCTTTGTTTTGAAGGGGAAGGTCATGACTCCCATAGGAAACTAAAAAGAGCTAGCCTTAGCCTAGATTAGGTTATGAGCTATGTAAATGAAAAGTCAACAATTTATTGGGATGTGTTGTATAGATCCGGTTTATCTCATATTCCTTGTACAAATGTATGTAATTGTATTGAGTATTATGTGCATGATATCATATGATGTTCTGGGTTGGTGAGGTTGTCTATAGGTGCAACCGAAATGTTAGATATTTCTCACTTAGCTTCAACGTTAAGTGTGTAGTGTTTGCTTTTTTGCTACTCGTAGGTAATCCAAGAGATGATGAACCTGGAGCCAATCCCAGAGGGCGATGAGAATTAGAAGATGTGTGTGGTTGTCTTTTATGATTTTTAATTATTATTTATTATCTAATGACTTATTACTTTTACGGGCTTGATAACCAAATTGTGTTTAAATGATGACTTAAGCTTCCGCAAATTCTTTAAGTATTACTCCGATGGATGTTAAATTATAGATTGAAGCATTTATTTGAGTTGTTTGGAAATAAGTTGTGTTTGGATACCAATTTAGTAGAAACCCGGTTTGTTGACCTTTGTATTTAGGTTATGCGGGTTGGGGTGTTACATGGGTTGTTTCCACCATCATCGATGAATTCTATGATCTCATCATCTCCTCTGCAGCCACATTTAATGTTGATCATAGGAAGGCAATATAGAACACTTCATGACAACAAAGCTGCTCGTTACATACAATTGGAACATAAATTCTACAACACTCTAAAAGGCTCATCAACCATCACCACATATTGTCAGAATATCAAGAATATTGCTAATTGGATTGATGATGTTGATGGCTTGGTCACTGAAAATCATTTCCTTCTTCAGGCTCTTCATGGACCTTTAGATGACCTGAGTGTTGACGCATCCTTCCTTCAATTTCACAACTGTAGCCCACTTTCATGGAAACTCACTCGACTCTTCTTCTCTTGGAATAACAGTGCCACCCCCTCGTCATTAGTGGGGACAGCTTAATTGCCTTTGTTGCGATCAAGCAACACAAGGGCAGTAGTTAGTTTTGCAGGTGCGGGTCAGGCAGCGATGGACAAAGCTACAGCAGGGGCGACATGTAATGGGAGTAAGGGGTATGGCAGCGGTGGTCGAGGTCAATACATCAACACTGGTGGTCGAAACAGGAAGCCTTATCGTGGACGTGGTCGAGACTCTTGGAGAATCCAAGGCCCACTTATGAGATCTTTGTACCTTGGCAGATTCCCAACCAAAACCCGGGCCTAGGTCTCTTGGGACCTCATTGAAACCCAAACCCGGACAGTGCCCAAGCCTACTATGCACAACCCACTTATCCAAATAACCCTAACCCCTACCCTACCCCCACCCCATACCCCAACCCAACCTTTTACCCCTACCCCTAGTGGTAGCCAGCCCACCCTCCCCACCCCTTCAAATCTACCCAACACCCCCAACCTAAGACACCAACATCCTTGGCACACCATTTTGACTCCATGTACTTTTGTGAACCCACATGGTTCATGGACACCAGTGTTTCTCATCATATTTTCTTTGATCCGAGTACTATTTCTCATGTTAATTTTAAAACTTTAAATTCACCATCTTTCATCACTATTGGTAATGGTTCTAATGTGCGCACTAGGGTTGTTGGTAACCACCGTTTTCCCGCCTCCCCACCCCTCTCCTTTAATAATGTTCTTGTTTCCCCTCACAATATCCATAATCTCATTTCAAGTCGGTAATTTACCTGTGATGAAAATTGCACGGTTGAATTTGACTCAAAAGAGTTTTCTGTGAAGGAACCTCGAACGGGAACCGTGATTCATTGGTCCAATAATGAAGGCCCACTATATCCTCTGCGGTTACTCAATCATGCCACCCAAGTAAACATTGCCCGAGTTGCTGCTCAAACGTTACATCGTCACATTGGACATCCAAGTCTGAAAGTCCTTCGTGGAGTCCCTAGTCTTTCCCCTTTATTTAATAAACATTTACTACATTATTTATTCCATGCTTGTCAATTAGGGAAACATATCCGTCTCCATTTTCCTCTGTCAATTCGTGTTTTTACATATCTCTTTCAATTAATCCACACTGATTGATGGCAATCTCCTATTCCCAAGAGAAATATATTTAAATTTATATGCTTCTCTTAGATGTTTTTCCTCACTACTTATGGGTATTTCCTCTACGACAAAAATTTGATGCCTTTTCTCATATCACTAATTTTATCGCATATGTGGAAAATAAATTTAATTTTACTATTAAAGTTGTTCAATGCAATAACAAAACTGAGTACCGCAACACCCTCCTCTAAAACATCTTTAACTCCTTGGGCAATAACAAAACTGAGTACCGCAACACCCTCCTCTAAAACATCTGTAACTCCTTGGGTAATCTCTTCAAATTCTCCTGCCCCCACACCAAACAACAAAATGCTAAAGCTAAGCGCACAACCCACACTATCAACAACACTGTTCCGACTCTCCTTTTCCAAGGCTAACTCCCTTCCACACTAGGGTTGAAGCACTACACATGGCCTCTAATCTCTTTAACTACCTACCCACCACCACCTTACAAAATAGTTGTAACGCCCCAAAACCTGACCTATAAGAATTAATTAATTAAAAATAGTTCATTAATTATTGAGAAATGCCTGGGGTATATTAGATATATTTGTAAATAAATTATAA